ATGGTGGGCGGGACTCTCTTTGTACTCCTGCCTCTGGCCCTGCGCTGTTAGGAAGGGGACTACAAAGTTATTGACTGGCCCTCAGCATGGGTTCAGTAAGGGGGCTTGAGAAATTTCCACGCCCAGGGGTAGAATGGACAGATGCCTAGTTGAACACGTATACTTGAGAGAGGACCACATGACGTAGAATTGATTAAGCGGCAAGTAAAAGGACTCATGAACAGAGAAGATGGGAGAAGAGGGAAGAATATGGGTCTAGAAGTTAGGACTCCTGCCAGAGCCCTTCTGAATTGGCTAGAGCCAGGCTGTCTGCAGAGGTGCCTGTGTGGCATTTTTAGTTAACCCTCAGAACCTTAGAGAAAATAGATGACCTGGTGGGGCTGTGTGGGTTGGTTAAGAAAAGTCACGTGAAATGGCTTTAAAAGTAGCAATGAATTATGCAAATGATAATATCATGAGGCAGCCCCTTGGCCTAGATTGTTTTTCCTCCAAAGTTTTAGATTCCTCTACCGGGGTATTTTTGTGGGATCACATTTTATGGGAAAACACCATTTTACAGTAGAGGTTCTTTTTAGAAACAGGTGACCTCTGGGGGACATTGTGTGGGAGCATTTCTTTTTTCTGAGTGAAGGTGTGCCTCTTCCCAAGTGGGCTGGGTTTAAGCTGGGTAATATTTCCGTGAGTGTCTTGGGAGTGCCAAGAGTAAGTTATTCAACAGAATCAGCATTGTAGTGGGGCCAGTGATCTCTCTGGTCCTTTACCATTAGCCAGTCTGAAAACTCTGGCCCCCACCAGGGATCTTTAACTCCAGGTACATGACTCAAACTCAGTTTTCTTCATAGAGTGGGGTTAATAATATGTGTTACCTTCTGCTTCTACCAGTTTGTGTGGGAACCATAAAAGAAGAGTATATGCCCCTGCAGAAGAAAGGGAGCACATAAACATATCATAAAGGATGGTCACTCCTCTGCTTCTCTGCCATTTCAGATTCAGTCCCCATCATCAGCAATCTGACATCGTTCGCCAGCATTAATTTTATTCCATTTGTGCTCCAAGTTGCAATTCCCTTTACAGTGCACTTTAGTGCTTAAGATCTCTCTGTCAGCTGTTAAAGGAACGAATGAAATTGTCAGTATTCAGTAAACACAAAATAACCCAGAGAAACGAAAGTTTAAATCTGAAGTTGTTAAATGTAAGAGCCAGTGAAGATGGCTGTATAAAACTACTGAACCAGTCATACGCAAGTTAGTCACATTTTTATGGATTTATCATAGTTTAACTGATTTTCATTTCTTTAAAGACCCCAGTTCCAACTCTTGTTATAGTGGGCATTGCCCTGGAGTCAGAGCTAGATAACTCAGCTGGTTCCTGAGCCACATCTGATACCTTTCAGAAACTGCTCAATATCACCACTCACATTCTAGGTCGTGATATCCTCAAAGAAGTATTTTAGGTCTGTTATGGCTCTAATTTTAGAATTCTGAAGTGTTTACCATCTGAAGCTCTAAGTTTAGGAGAGGAGCTTGCTGGGCAAAATGACATACGTTTTTTAATCTTCCTCAGGGAATTTTAGTTTGGAAGAAAAACCTGTTTTAATGTGATCGTGTGTGTGTGTGTGTGTGTGTGTGTGTGTGTGTGTGTGTGTGTATCTTAGGGAAGTAACTAGGAAATACTTTTTAAAGTAGCAAATAATGGGAAATGTTTCTGGAAAGTTAGGTCCCTTAAACTTTCCTCTCTATTAAAGAGGCATTCCCCCACTATTAAAGATAGTCCCACTCCTACAAACGAAACAGAATTCAGATGTATGAGAACCTCAAGCTCTCATTTTTAAAAAACTGTGTTTGTTTTTAGGGCACAAATATAAATAAATGTTTCTTGCTTAGATTCTGCAGGCTTTTTTTTCTACTACAGATTGCACATTTGAGGGACCTTATGCTCTTCTCTCCTTCCCAACATCAAAGTTCCAGTAGCAACTTGGCTGAATGAGCCTGGAAGCCTCGCCTCTAGTTATAATGAATGAAAAGCTCATTATAACTGGTACCAGTTTCAAGTCTCATTCCTATTATCAACACACAGACCTAGATATTGGCCCTGAAAAGGTCTCGACAGCCATTTTTAGTTCCTCTTATAATACTTCACTGATGTAGCCAAACACTGATGAAAGGCAGGCCCTCTCCATTCTCTGAAGCACTGGAGGTAGGCTTTGTGTCTTTCTGCTCTGCATTTTGGATCTTTGCCGTGGCAACCACAGGGTAAGGCAGCTTAAGAATCACCCATGTGCCAGATAACAGCGGCAGACAGCCACTCGTGTGGCCGTCTCAAGGCAGCTTAAGAATCACCCATGTACCAGATAACAGCGGCAGACAGCCACTTGTGTGGCCTGTGGCACAGGCCAGATCCCCCTGTTAATTCTAGACCCACATTAGTTTTAACCGTATTCCCTGCAGTCTCTAATCTTACATCTGGATCCCTGCCTCTGACTCCTATGGGTTGGACTCTGGTTCTTCCTGTCCCAGGCAGATGGCCTTGATTCTCTGCTCTGCCTTTGGTGGAAGCTTTATGTTCTAACTCAAATTTATGGGCTCAGTTCCCATTGTTGGCCACTTGGCCAGCCTAGAACCTTTATGAGCAGCAGCTAGTTCCGTGTGATAAATTGCTTTTCCTCTCAAGTTCTCTTTCATGTCTTCATGTTTGGCTATTAACCATTACTGACCATCCAGCTCTGCATGCCATTACATTTCAGGTGTGTGGATGAAATTCTTTTTTGATGCTAAAGGTCCAATGTAGCAAATGCCAAGTAAACAAATATGTGACCATTTTTAGATGTTAGTCTTTCATTCCTGATCACTGAGAAATGAAAGCCTGTTATCAAGACAGTAGTATGTACTTTCTTCAGCAGTTTCTATGGGCTCAGTATATGTCTTCCAGCATAATTTTATTTGGTTTCTTTTTAACATCTTTATTGGAGTATGATTGCTTTACAATGGTGTGTTAGTTTCTGCTTTATAACAAAGTGAATCAGTTACACATATACATATGTTCCCATATCTCCTCCCTCTTCCGTCTCCCTCCCTCCCACCCTCCCTATCCCACCCCTCTAGGTGGTCACAAAGCACCGAGCTGATCTCCCTGTGCTATGCGGCTGCTTCTCACTAGCTATCGGTTTTACGTTTGGTAGTGTATATATGTCCATGCCACTCTCTCACTTCGTCCCAGCTTACCCTTCCCCCTCCCCATATCCTCAGGTCCATTCTCTAGTAGGTCTGTGTCTTTATTCCCATCTTACCCCTAGGTTCTTCATGACCTTTTTTTTTATTATTATTCTTAGATTCCATATATATGTGTTAGCATATGGTATTTATTTTTCTCTTTCTGACTTACTTCACTCTGTATAGACAGACTCTAGGTCCATCCACCTCACTACAAATATCTCAGTTTCGTTTCTTTGCTGAGTAATACTCCATTGTATATATGTGCCACATCTTCTTTATACATTCATCCGATGATGGACACTTAGGTTGCTTCCATGTCCTGGCTATTGTAAATAGTGCTGCAGTGAACATTGTGGTACATGACTCTTTTTGAATTATGGTTTTCTCAGGGTATATGCCCAGTAGTGGGATTGCTGGGTCATATGGTAGTTCTGTTTTTCGTTTTTTAAGGAACCTCCATACTGTTCTCCAAACCTTTCTTGATTAACTGATTCCTCACTGATGTACTGTTGGCATTAAAGAGTATATATTTATTTGAGAGAGTGTGCACTGGCATTAAATAATTAATCTTTATGAATTCTACCAGAGAATATGTTTTATTATGCTGGAAGAATTTATTTGGTGTGTTTTTCCCCAGTGGTTGCTAGAAGATGGATTTTTGTATGTGTGCCATTTTCTTATATTTAAAAAATCAAATCACAGGGCCAAAAAATCATCAGTGTCTGGAACACCTTAGAAATTCTGTATTACGTATTGTGATAATTGTCTTAATTCTTCTTTCTCAGTTATAGACATAACTTTTTCCTGATTGGGTCTCCACGCACACAGTCAGGAAACAATGGCTTACCATAGCCATCATTTCTGTCTGCACATTATCATGTTTCAAAGATTTCCCCAATTAATCTTGTGGAAGCTGGAATCACTCGCAACTGTAATCCTGTTATGCCTTCTTTATTCCTTGATGTGCTTGTTAATTCGTGTTCATCCTGTAGCAGTCTGTAACATAGTGCTGTTATCAGCTCTTAAGTCTTTAAAAGCCTCTTGTCTACCATTTTTACTAAGGTTGATTCGCTGCGCTTTGTTGAAATTGATCATTTTGGATTTAAAAAAAATATTATTTTCCTGTATATTTGTTCTGGCTACTTTTGCATGATTTCACTTTTTTTCAGTTAATCAATCTGCCAAGCAGGTTGCTTTTCCCTTTTTAGCTTCCTTTCTCTCTTTTTTTTTTTTTTTTTTTTTTTGCGGTACGCTGGCCTCTCACTGTTGTGGCCTCTCCCGTTGCGGAGCACAGGCTCCGGACGTGCAGGCTCAGCGGCATGGCTCACGGGCCTAGCCGCTCTGCTGCATGTGGGATCTTCCCGGACCAGGGCACGAACCCATGTCCCTTGTATCGGCAGGCGGACTCTCAACCACTGCGCCACCAGGGAAGCCCGCTTTTTCTTTTTAAAGAACTCTCTATCTCTTCATTTCTCCTTCCCTCTCTTAGGCAATGCCTCTGGAAGAAAAGCCAGGAGGCAGTGGAATAAATTCTTTAGAATCAGGATAGACACTTCTCCCATTTCCCTTTTCATAAAATGAGAGAGGGGGTCCCTTTCCTTGGTGATTCTCTCCCTGAGCAGTTTCTAGAGTGAAAGCTTCATGACTGACTGCCAGGCATTTTGCAGACACCGTAATTTGCTACTTATTTATAGCCTCAAACTCCTCTGTATACTAATCTTACCAGGTGGACTCAAACTTAAACCCCAGAGTTCTTTGGATACACTACATTGTCTTTTCTTCTCCTAGGTACTGACTTTAACATAGATAGCTTACCTCTGCCTCGGAAAGCCCATCACGACTGGGCCCTTTTTCACGAAGAGTCTCCGAAAAACAATTATAAGCTCTTTCACCAGCCAGTCATCACCTTGTTCAACTACACGGCCACCTTCAGCCGGCATTCCCACCTGCCACTAACTACCCAGTACCTGGAGGGCACAGAAGTCCTGAAGTCACTCCGATACCTGGTCCCCTTGCAGTCCAAAAACCACCTTCGGAAAAGCCTCGCTCCTCTGGTGTACGTACAGTCCGACTGTGACCCACCCTCAGACAGAGACAGCTACGTTCGAGAGCTGATGACGTACATCGAGGTCGATTCTTACGGCGAGTGTTTGCGAAACAAAGCTCTCCCTCAGCAGCTGAACGGTCCAGCCTCTATGGACGCTGGTGACTTTTATAGGATCCTTGCCCAGTATAAGTTTATCCTTGCTTTCGAGAACGCGGTTTGCGATGACTATGTCACTGAGAAGTTCTGGAGACCTCTGAAACTGGGGGTCGTTCCTGTGTATTACGGATCACCCAGCATCGCAGACTGGCTTCCAAGTAATAGAAGTGCTATCCTGGTATCAGAATTTTCTCACCCTAGAGAACTGGCAAGTTACATCAGACAGCTGGATCACGACGACAGACTGTACCAGGCCTACATAGAATGGAAGCTGAAGGGTGAGATCTCGAATCAGCGACTTCTCACTGCTCTCAGGGAACGGAAATGGGGGGTGCAGGACATCAAGCAGGACAACTACATCGACGCATTTGAGTGTATGGTGTGCACCAAGGTGTGGGATAACATTAGGCTCCAGGAAAAGGTAAGCAAATCCAGGTTTGGCAGAGAGGTGCTGGGATGGCCGTCTTGATGTTCTCTGCTGCTCTGCATTATCCTGTTGCAGCTGCCCCATCACTGGTCCTCACTTCTATCAGAGAGGCCAGGCTCCGAGGCAAGGATGACTATTTCATTTCTATTCTTCGAGGACTGTCATGTAGTTTACCAGTCCTGTCCCTCTTCCTGAAGGCCTTACATTCTCCTCTATTGTTTCTTCTGGAAGATAATATACTGCAGGTGCTGGGCAGTAATACAAGGAAGCTGCAGGGGAAGGAGAAGGCCCAAAAATTTAAAATATGGAAAGTTCTGAATCTCATCCACATGGTCAGTCCTTTAACCTCTCCATCAAGGCTGTGGTTTGTGCCAGACCCCTTATGCTCATGCCCCATGGACTGCCATTTTGAAACTTATTTTCATTTCATATACACACTCAATTAACCTCTCTCTCTCTGTCTCTTTCTGTCTCTCTCTCTCTCACTTCTGGTCACTCCCTGATTGTTGCTCTTTCTGTGTGTGGTACACACACATGCTTATTAATATAAAGAGAATATTCAAATAATGTTGGGGATAACCCTTAAAAGACTTCTTTTTCTTAAATTATTAAAATTAAAGTTCTTAGTAACATCTTCAAATTCTAGATGCTCTTTTTTTTTAATTAATTAATTTATTTTTATTTTTTGGCTGCATTGGGTCTTCGTTGCTGCGCGTGGGCTTCCTCTAGTTGCAGGGAGCAGGAGCTACTCTTCGTGGCGGTGCGTGGGCTTCTCATTGTGGCGGCTTCTCTTGTTGCAGAGCACGGGCTCTAGACACGTGGGCTCAGTAGTTGTGGCACGTGGGCTCAGTAGTTGTGGCTCGCAAGCTCTAGAGCGCAGGCTTGGTAGTTGTGGTGCACGGGCTTAGTTGCTCCGCGGCATGTGGGATCTTCCTGGACCAGGGCTCGAATCCGTGTCCCCTGCATTGGCAGGCGGTTTCTTAACCACTGCACCACCAGGGAAGCCCTCTAGATGCTCTTAATGTTTATTTGCTTACTTTATTATTTATGACAGGAATGGTTCCACTTTATAGAGAAGCGAATTCATTAAAATGAAACTTGTTGAAAGAAAAAGATTACTTTCAACTATCTTTGAAATCTAAAAAAAAGTGAGATGGCCCTACTTGGCTGTCACGCATCATTTCCTTGACTCCCATATACACATAACGTTTTATCTAAATTCTCTGAAGGCAGACAATTTTGTTAAATATTTAAATGTTTATTTTAGCTAGCATAGAAATTTCAGGCCAAACATAAACCTAAATAGTGTGTGGAATTATTTTAATGTATTGAACACATACTGTATGAGGCTTTCATGTGCTAAATATGTATATGCTTAGACAAATTTAAAATATGTGAAACATTATTTTCCTAATTTTAATAATGATGAGAATTTAAATTATTTTATCTGGTTTCTTATAACAAAGTTTTATTCATAAAATCTTTATTTTAAGCTGAACGTCTTGGTCAGCAACAGGAACACTAAATATTACATCATTCTTCTCAGGGAATGCATCCTGATTTCCAGTGACTTCCTTTATGACCTAATTTATAGGGCCACCTTACAGCAAAAACCAAAAGACACACACACACACACACACACACACACACACATACACATGCCGCTGCAAAAAACACATGAGAAAGTAGAGACCACATTAATTGCCCATGCTATACCAATGATTGACTCTGAAAATATATCAAGGCAGAAAACAGAACTTCTGAGGATGAAGGTTTGCCTGGGCTCATTTTCACGATCCTTTTCCATGTTGGAGATTATATTCACAGAAAACTGAAAGAAGCACACAAACCCTAACTGCTCCCGCATCTCACAGAAACCCTATTGGGGTGATTACTGGGGACTGGAAAAGAGGGTATAGTGACATTGGGGAATAGCTTTTTCAAAGATATAGGAGGATACATACATTCGTGCATTTCCCACGGAACCAGCTGTCTGGTTGTGGTATTTCAGAGTGCCGGAAGGTGGTGTAGTTGAATGCCCTTCTCTCTGGAGTCTTTGAGGAGAAACAGAGTAAGCTGTCCTCCAGCATGCTCTCATTCCTCCCAGAGAGGTGGTCAGTGGAGGTGACTGGAAGGCTTTGCTTGCATTTCAGAGAACTTGGTACAATTGTCAAACGCAAATGTGCTCATTATTGAAAAGCAGAACAAAACATACCATGAAAGTAAATTAAAGGGTATTAGGCCAGCTGTTTTCATTTGTGTTTATAAGATTTGTTACAGCTTATATATATGGTATGCCTTAAAATAAGCTATGTAAATGTTTCTTCACTCTTTCTCTTTCAGACAAATAAAAGCTGAAAGAAATAATTTGATCTCCTCAACTCGATTATTTTTTATCTTACAATTGATAGTAGTTTAAATCATGGTATTTAGATGTACAAAACACTATTAGAATATTCAATGCATTTCCCCTTCCTCTATTCTGCTTCCTCCTCTCATAAACGTACAAACCTAGTATATTAGTTATCTACTGCTGTTTAAACAGTAGTGCCACAAACTTAGCGGCTTAAAACAACAAACTTTTGTTATTTCACAGTCTCTGTGGGTTAGGATTCTGGTCATGGCTTACCTGGGTTCTCTGGAAGGCTGCAATCAAAGTGTCAGTCAGGGCTGGGTTCTCATCTAGAGGCTTAACTGGGGACAGGTCTGCTTTCAAACTCACATGCTTGTTGGCAGATTCAGTTTCTTGAGGTTGTAGGACTGAGGGCTTCAGTTTCCTGCTGGCTGTAGGCTGTAGGTTGCCCTCAGCTCCTAGAGGCCACCCACAGTTCCCTGTCCTGTGCTTCCCCCACATGGCTGCTTGCTTCCTTAAAGCCAGCAAGGGAGGGGGAGATGCCAAGACCAGTGCTACAGTCTCATGAGTGTAACCACATACATGTAATCACATACATCCTCTCACCTTTGTCATATTCTATTGGCTAGAGGCAAGTGACAAGTAACACCCACAGTCGAGGGGAGGGGATAACATAAGGGCATGAATACCAGGAGGTGTGGATATCATGGGGCCATCTTGAATCTGTTCCTTACACCTAGCGAATCTGAGTGGGCTTATTCTCGGTGTCATTTGCTTGATTTATGTAGGGGAAAGTCTTTCAGTATTGAAGAGACCAACCCAGGAGTTAATGTTAGTTAAAGAACATTTATGGATACATTATCCTGTCCTCAAAGAGGCTATAATAGGGGAGACAACATGGAATAACCAGGAATATAACTTTACAGAATTGGGATAAACTTAAAACAATTAGCTTTATTGAGGTATAATTGATGTACAATAAACTGCGTATATTTAAAGTTTACAGTTGGATTAGTTATTACATGTGCAAACGCCTGTGAAACCATCACTTCAGTCAAGATGACAGACATTTCTATTCTCCCCTAAACGTTTCCTCATGTCTGTTTGTAATCTATCCCTTTTCCACCCGCTTCTTCAGGCAACCACTCATCTGCTTTTTGTCACTTTTGACAAAGAAGCCAAGGCAGTTTTCTAGAATTTTGTATAAATGGAATCATGTAGTGTGTATTCTTTTGTGTCTGGCTTCTTTCATCCTGCATGATAATGTTGACGTTTATCCACAATTCTGTGTGTATCAAGAGTCCATTTCTCTATACTGCTGAAGTTTGGATATACCAAAATTTGCTTATCCACACGCCTGTTTCCAGTTTTTGACTGTTACAAATAAAGCTGCTGTGAACATTCATGTACAGATCTTTGTATGGATATATGCTTTCACTTCTCTTCCGTAAATACCTAGGAGTGGATTGGCTAGGTCATATGGTAGATGTACGTTTAACATTTTGAGAAACGACTAATTTATTTTCTAGAGTTTCTCCATCTTACATTCCTGCCAGCATTGTATGAGAGTTCATTCATTCACAGTTGGTGTGTGGTCAGTCTTCTAATTTTTGCCTTTCTATTGGGCGTATAGTGTATCTCACTGCGGTTTAATTTACATTTTCTTAATAACTAATGATGTTGAATATCTTTTAATGGCTTATTTGCTGTCAATATCTTCTTTTGTGATATATCTCTTTAAGTCTTTTGCTCATTTTTTAAAAACTGCGTTGTTTGACTTGTTATTCTTGACTTGTAAGAATTCTTTATATACTGTGAATACAAGTCATTTGTCAATTATAAAATTAACAAATGTTTTCTTCCAGTCTGGGTTGTCTTTTCATTTTCTTAATAGTGTCTACAGAAATGTAGAGTTTTTAATTTTGATGAGTCCAACTCATAAATTTTTTCTTTTATAGCTTGTGCTTTTTGTGGCTTGTTTAAAAAAATCTTTGTCTAACCCAGGGTCTCTAAGATTTGCTTCTGTTTTCTTCTAGAAGTTTTGTTGTTTTAACTTTTACATTTAGGTCTATGATCCACTTAGAGTTAATTTTTGTGTTGTGGTATAATGTAAGAGTTGAGGTTTGTTTATTTGGATATCCAATTGTATCAGCCTCATTTTCTGGAAAGATTATTCTTTCCTGATTGAATTACCTTGGCTTCTTTTTAAAAAATCAATTGGCCATATATGCATGGGTCAGTTTCTGTGCTGATCAGTATATCTATATTTGAGTACTGTTGCTTTATAATAAGTCTTGAAATGAGGTAGTGTTAATCTTCCAACTTTGTTCTTTTTCAAAATTATTTTCACTATTTTCGGTCTTTTGCTTTTCCACATAAATTTTAGATTCATTTTGTCAGTTTCTACAGAAATCCTTGATGGGATTTTCATTGGGATTTTGTTGAATCTATATGTCAATTTGGGGAGAATTGACAACAATATAGAGACATTTAATCAATAAGCATGATATATCTGTTCATTTATTTAGGTCTTCTTTAATTTCTTTAAACAGTATTTTGTAGTTTCTGGTGTACAAGTTTTATAACTCTTTGGACAAATTTATCCCTAAGAAGTTCACATTTTTGGATACCACAGTAAGTG